ACTTCCTTAGCATACTAGCCAAATTTCAAGTGGCCACTACCTACATATGCCAGTGACTTTCATACTGAATAGTGCAGAGAACATGCCCATCATCACAGAGGTTCTATTCAATTGTGCTAATCTACATATTACATACCCATGCGGGTGATCCTTTCTTCTATTCCCCCTKGCATTGGACCAATTTTGTCTAGAAACATCTGCTTAACCTGTGGTCCTTAGCAGAAGTCTCAACTACTACATGAAGCTACATCTAATTTATCCCAGATATTTTGGTGTACCTTCCTTGTAGTTTCATCATACCTCGGTAACACCAATACACTAGTTATACCACATATAATCCTACCTTTCCCCCTCATAATCCTGTAAGCTTCTTGAAGAAGGAACCAATTCTTATCCAAGGGACTTTGGGTCCAAGGGGAACATTCATAATTTATCCTATACTACAAACACTGCTAAAGACAGGAGAGAACAAACACAATGACTACAATGGGAAGTTTGTATRTATAAGGAAGGTAAGGCATACAAAGGAAAACCTGGCTAGGAATGGCAGGGTCACAAGGAATTTTTTTCCTTAAACCACCAATTCTTTACATTTTTTTCACACTTAATAAAAGGTGTTTCATAGATGTTCTGTGAATGAATATTTGTGATATAGTTTCTTTTAAAAAAGACAAATGCTAAATTAGAATTCAAATTTGGCTTATTATGGTATTAAAAACGCATCTTTTCATGTTAAGTCCCAATATTTTGTTCAATAATACTTGTTTTTATGATATAGTTTAAAAATTAAACCTCAAAAGTCCAACCTAAATAATATTTGTTTCCAGTATGTAGAAAATTAGACTGAAATAATTCTCCAAGTGCAGTGCTCTGACATCCCCATCAATACATAGCTCAACCACCACATTTCTTTGATGAACAAGACACAATTTCTGTCTTATCAATAGTTTTTTTCCCCTAAGAACAAACTTGGTTCTGAAGGATAAGTGTGTCGGAAATGAATTCAGCTATCAACAATAGATATCCCAAAATTGCAAAGAACAGAGTTCATTTATTATCTTTACTCATCAAATAATTTTAAAAACTCACATTAACCACTTGAAAAGGTAGTATACAACCTGACTGGAAACAAAAAGTTAATGCATCATTTACCTGGAATCCTTGGAAGAGTTAGTGTTCCACATAAATGAATTTTTCAGATAATTTCCAAGTATATCCATTTAAGCACCAACACTTAAAACTGTTTGGTATGAAAATCTTTTTTTTTTTTTAGTGCAAATCTTTCAACTTTTAAAAACAGACTTTACTAGGCAATATTTTGACTAATAACTATTATTCAAATAATTGTTATGTCAATGCCTAGTAGCCAACACTCAAGCCCTAAACTAAAGGTCCCCAGGGTATCTTTTTAAAACTTTGCAGGCTTGGAAGAGTATTACTTACCATCCCTAGTTTTTGGTATGTCTGCTGTCAACCTCTGCTGGTATCAGTGCAAATGGCCATAGCTGCCTCTCATCCCACTACTAAGAAAAATTTGCCTAAATCTAAGAAACTTTGAGTGGATATCCAATTCTATTTTGGTTCCTCAGAGTCTTTTTCTGCTTATTTCCTGGATCTATTAGTCTCTAATAACAAGTTCTAAAACAAATTTTGGATAAACAAGTAACTACTTTATTTTGATGTCCTTACATTTTTTTTTTCAAATTTAAAACTTATGATCAAAGGTAACAAAATTATTATTTATTCACTCATTCAACAAATATTAATTACCTGCTATTATTTATTCACTCATTCAACAAATATTAATTACCTGCTATGAACTGAGATCCAAAACGATGGCAAAAATAAAGAACTAAAAAGGATGCTAGTTTTGAACCAATTTTAATGTAGAAAAAATAAAATTAAAATAACTTCTACTCAATGTATTAAAAATAATTAAGTCTCTTAAATAAAATTATAAAACTGCCTAAACATTTTATAATTTCTATACTGTGGTTTTAGGAACTAAAGGCTCCAGGGTAAAGAAATACTTATTTTATAGAGCTCTAAATAAGATTCCAAGGTTTTCTACTTCCTTTTTTCTATTACAAATTCCTTTCCATCCCCAAAAAAGTCAATATCAACATAAACTTTATTATTAAATAATATGCAAGGCCAGCTTGGGGTCGTAGCTCAGTGGTAGAGCTCTTGCCTAGCATACGTAAGTAACTGCCTTTGATTCCCAGCACCACTTTAAAAAAAAAAAAAAAAGTCCATTGACAACTCAAAAAATATTTTAAAAAAAATATGCAAAGCCTTGATAATGATAAACATACATCTCAGCATCCTGAAGTCTAGTGTCAGTGTTAATTTGTGAAATGTTCTGTCCAATGTTTGAGAAGCTCCTTTATATTTTTTTTTTAGGATTTGGAAACTTTTTTAAACGTTTTCATTAACAAAATATGATGTGTAACCCTACAATATTTGTTTTATCTACCACAGTCATATTTTTCTAATTCTGTTACCTATTTAAATCCAAATCCAGAAAATAAATCAACAAAAAGTGTAGCTTAAACTTGGTCTCTGTGGATTAATTAAGGCATCAGGTAACACCCCTGGCATCAGCCTCTTTTTAAATCCCTTGGAATCTTCCCTCTCATTCATTTTCTCCTCAGGGAACTCAAAAATGTTATTCGTATTTTATACTTTTATAAATGATCAGTGATTGCCTTTATTATTTAGTCATAATGGAAATGGGTCTTAGTCATGTGCCTGCTAATCTGAGGAAGTAAAATAATATTTAGAAGTGCCTGCTAATCTGAGGAAGTAAAATATAGTTAGATTTGAAAAAAAGTTTCGACCATTAAAAACCTTTAATTATTAATATTAAAACTCTTTTCAACAATGCATTAATACCTCTTCAACATTAATTCTGGAAGCTGAAAATGCTTTAAGCAGTATTAAAAACACAGGTCACAGATCTAACCTTCAAAATTAGTAATAATGTAATATTATTTGAAATGCCACTTCATATTTTAGTGATTCTTACAAGTCTACACTGATCTCATTAGCATACTACCTTGTGCTGTGAAAGAAGTCTGCTTTAAATTAAAAAAAAACTGCAAAAGGATACTCAATATAGGCTCTTGCTCATTCTAAAATTTAGGCAAAAATATAAATGATAACTATTTAGTGGACACTTATTTTAGGCAAAATTTATAAAAGGTGCTGTCCACATTAGCTGTAAAAAAAAAAAATGCAGACCTTGTTCAAGATACTTTGAATATAACTGGAGTTAGAAAATAGACCCCCATAGAAGATAACATTAAGCAATAATATTTGGAAAATAAAAATATTTAAAAAGTGATCATAAACACAGAACTAACTGCAGCAGGCAGTGAGGGCATTCAGTTCACATGCAAACAAACAAAAAAAATTCTTTTTGCCTGCCTACTTTAAATTTGGCAATCAAAATTAGCCAGGACTAAGGAGTTGGGCCAAGAGCATTACCAAAGAAAAAACACAAATTCTCAGGAGCAACTGTTATTGGACCATTCAAACAAAATCTTCCTGTGAGTGYTCATCAATGGCTTCTCTCCTAAAATCTTTTTACCAAATTAAAAGCAAAACTGATTAGTGGCTATCAACTTTGCAGACTTGCTTCCCCTGTTGACACTTTTAAGGCCCATTTGCAGAAACGAAGGAGCAGGGGAGAAGAAGGCAACAACGGGGGTACCTAGGCCTATTGTTCAGAGAGAACTGCAGGACTATCAGAGCACCGCGGGGCGCGCCTGAGCTGAGGCGGGCGAGAGTAGAACCCGGCACAGGTGTGTGTGCGCGGGGCGGGGGGGAGTGTTACGGGGGACAGGTGTGTCAGAGGTGAACAGGTGTACTTGGGGTGGGGGCCGCAGCTAAGAAAAAGGGGCCCCATTACCAGACCAAGACGTCGAGTTAGGAGGACAAAGTCATTCCTGAGGCTTTAACCTCTGGGCACTGAGAGTGACTGGCCTGCGGAGGGTCAAAGTGTTCCCCCCGGGGTTTGAGGAGGCCGGAGAACAGAGGGTGGACAGTCGCAAGGAAGGAAAGATAAGGCTCTCGAATCGAGGGGCCAGCCTAGAAATCCCCAAACAATGAACAAAGCTCGGGCTGAGTGTGCAGGCAAGGGCTAGGGGTGTCAAGAGGGTGAAGCCGGTGGGCGGAGGGAAACAAAAGACAGAAGCCCCCAAGTGTGGGCCCGCGGCGCAGCGGCGGTGATTACCTGTGAGAGCTGCCGGGGATTGGGACAGCCGAAGAGCGCGGAGCTGGAGCTGAAGCTGATGGCTCCTCGGCGGCTGAGGACGTGCTGGGGGACCGGCCTGTCCAGGGGCAGCACCGGCAGCTGGTAACATACTTCCATTGAATACGCCCGCCCTGCCTCCGCGCGGCGCCCGCCCTGCCGCGGCCGCCGGCCCCTGAGCTGCGAGGGGGCCGCGGCTCAGGGCGCCGGGCCGAGGCGGGGGCAGGGCGGGCGCGCGCCCACCCCGGACCGAGAAGCCGCGCTCACGCCTCCCTCAGCCCAGCCCTCCGTCCCGGTCGCCGGCGGGAAGGAGCTGCGGCGACCGCGGCACCGGTTACCAGSACCCGCGCGCTTGGGGCTGCGGGCTAGGGGGACTGGGTGCAAGCCGGGGCAACACCGGCAAAGTCGGAAGGGGAACGTCGCCGCCTCTGGGCTCCTCGGGCCAAGAGGTGCGTGTCCTGGACAGCGGAGCAAGGATGGAGCTGAGCGGCGCAAAGAAGACGGCTGTAGCCAGCGGCCAGACCCAGAGCGCGCGGGCTCGGGACCAGCGACCAGCTCGGGCCGCAGCAGCCGCCGGAGCCCTGCCCCTCCCCTCCCCCGGAGCCTGACTTCACATTCACACTTTGCAGCCGCGGACCCTGCGCCAACCACGGCCGCCGCCACCGTGACGTCACGACGCCGCGCCGCAGGCCCAGCGCCCCGCGCCGCCGTCAAAGCGCCCAGAGAGACCGGCTAGCGGCCGAGGGCGAGAGCAGCCTTCCTCCCGTGCCGCACCCAGCGCTCGGTCCTGGACCCCCTCCCGCCGCACATCTCCCTCCTCCCCCATCCTTCTCATCCAGTCTCCCCGCAACCCAAGGCGCGTGCGCATAAGCCCCTGCGGTTTGGGGGCATCCCCATCAGCTTTAAACTCTTGCGTTGGAGCGCGGTGAGGGTGTGGGGTGGGCTCAGTCCGCTCGAGAGGTGCCATTTCGGTGTAGCGACACCAGAAACCCAAAGCACGTGGTGCACTCAGCCCTGTCCGCGGGGACACCGCCGGCTTTCCTTCCTTGAAAATTCCCGTTCTTGGGCTTCGTTCGGGACCGCTGCGGCAGTGACGTCCACGGACCTCGCGGGCCCCATCCTCCCAACTACGTCACTGCCAGTCCCTTGGCGGGGCCGAGCTCCTGCGCTCCCTTGACAGGTGAGGCCCCGGGACCATCCCGGGCCTGCGGGGCGGAGAGGGGAACCAAGAACTCAAGAATGAGAAGGGGGTGAGGGAGGTCTCAGAACGGGTGGAAAAAATCCGAGACTAAAAGAAATAAGAGTATGCAATGAAAAAAAAAAAAAGATGATGATATTGAGAAGACAAAGGGAAAAAGGAGACTGCATGGCCTTCTAATCAAAACTGGTTTTTGTTAGCTTTTCATATTTTTAGAAAACGAGAGAAGGTAAAGAACTCTTCACCAGTTCGGTAAGCTGGATATGTCATTTGCATGTTCATATTGTCACATTTCTCCCCAAGCTGTCACAGCTTTTCAGCAGGAACTATTTCTAATGCTTTCCATCCTATGATACTTCAGACTGAACAAGCTCTTCCCTGCTGGAAAAGTTGTTGATGTGGCTAACTTCTTAGTTGCAATGACTGAGCAAGGTGGCAAGCATTGGAAAGTACTAGATACTCTCCAACTGATGATGAGATCCGGTACCACATGCGTGTGATTGGATAAATGGATGAAAGTCTATGAGACCTTTTATCATCTTCCCGTCGCATCTCTTTCTTTTATATTTAAACTTTATGTCTCCTTTGTATTCTTCTTTGCTCTTCATTGTTAAAAGAAATATAACCCCYACTGTGATCTTGTGGATTTTGTCTTCACTAGATGATGAAGCAATAAGCTTCTCTTTAGTACAGCAACTGATCCAGCCCATTTTTKAAACTCTAATTATTCCCATAACATCTAGAAAATACGTTAAACATCTGTATGGTTGGGATTATGCTGAGCACTTTCACCTAACCATATTTATGTCTAACAACAAACTCGTGGTGGTGATTAGTATCTAAATTGAAAGTAGGTTCATGGGAACAAACTTGGCCTACACCTGACAGGTAAGTAGCAAGAACTAACCTCAAGTAATAATTGAATTCTGGGTATATATAATCGCCCAGAAGATAATATTTTTGTGTGATATTAGTATGTGCCAAATAAAATGCCTATGTCACATTTAATAGCATCTGAAACTCAGGATGATTAAATTATTTAATAAGACTCAGAGCACCAAGTGGGTATATCTCCTTTCATCATAGTAGATTACTCTGCACCTAGTATGAACAAAGAACACAAAAGTATTCTACATACAATGTTAATACAATAGCCACATAAGTTGGGTAATTTTATACCAGTTCTACAGATGAGGAATTAGGTTCTAAGACTGTAAGTTAATTAATTGCCCTAGTGAACTCTGGGTTTCAGAGCCAGGCATTAAGAAGTGTATTAGTTGCAGTTCTTCCAAGAAACAAAACCCATAGTGTGTATGTGTATAGAGAGAGATTTTAAGGAATTGGCTCATGATCGTGGGGTTTCGCAAGTCTGAAATCTGTAGGGTGGGCCATCAGGTCTGGAAATTCAAGTAATATTTGATGTTACAGATAATATTGGTGTGAATCTGAAACCTTCAGGGCAGACCAACAAGCTGAAAACTAGGGCAGAGTTTCTATGTTGGAGTCTTGAGGAAGAATTTCTGCTTCTCTGAAAACCTGAGTCTTTGGTCTCTTAAGGCTTCAACTGAGTGTTGAGGTCTACCCTCTTTAATGAGGGTAATCTGCTTAAAATCAACAGATGATCCATGTTAATCACACCCACAAAATACCTTCAAAGCAACATCTTGACAAGTGTTTAACCAAACTGGACATTATACCCTTGTCAAAGTAATACATGAAATTATCGATCACAGAGAGCAAACTTTAAACCTAAATAATAGAAGAAATCCCATTACCTAAAGCAACAAAAGGACAAGGACCTAAGAATAAACTTAACAAAATATGCAAGATTTATATAAATGAAAGTTCTATATGGGAAAAATATAAAAGTAGACTTGAATGTTTAAAAAGAATGTTCTTCTTGGAATAGAAAGACTTAATCTACTAAAAGAATCAATTCACCCTAAGTTAATCTACACATTTAACATGACCTCAGTACATAGTAAAAACAAAATTATCCAGGAAAATTATGGGGAACCAAAAAAAAAAGTGAGTTTCTATTAGGGTCAGCCAGCAGTTCTAATTTCAGCCAGAACTATAAAGGAAAGAGAGTTCTGGGAAACKTAGTTCCAATGTAGCAAAATTGATAGTATAAAACCACTCAGAACTTCTCTTGTCACCTTGACCTCCTATTATTATCCATAATTAATATTTAAATAAAGCCTTCATCAGAATCCTACTTTAGCCCTTACGATGCAGCTTTCTCTCATTACAACCAAAATCAGCTCACTCCTATCCCAAGAGAGGATAAAGAGTCTTCTTTGAGCAATGTCCAGTCCTCCTCTTAGTGGGTCACAATATCCCTTTGACATTCCAAAACATACATAATAAGTTGTAAGGTTATCTACTATTAACAGGCCAGGGATTAAACCCAAGGTCTTGTACATATTAAGCAAGCATCCTACCACTGAGCTATGTACCCAGTCAGAAAAAAAAAAAAGTTGGTTAATATACATACAAATGTATCAAAATGAAGGAAAATGCCCATAAATATTACAGTACTTATATCTACAACTAGTAAAATTGTCATGGCTACTATTTTTATAACTATCTTCCTTCTCTTCAGTTACCTGTTTAATATTCCCTTCACCTTCAGTAAATATCTCAGCTGTTAGTAGTTCCTTGCCTTTTGAATACACCTAAACCTGCATTCCTGAAGGATCTGAGCTATTAGAGTTTCTACTTCTGTTGGATTGTGGTAGTTTTCCATTACGTCACATCACAGAGCCTGGTAATTCTAAGTACCATGTAACATCTCCAAAGAATCTCCTGCATTCCATTCGTATTCCTTCCTTCTCCCATTGTGTAGCAGCTTGATGTGTGCAATCATTCTGCTAGGAAGGGATCAATCACTTCAGGTAGTTCAATGATCCCTTCTTGGTATGTTGGCTAAATAGCAGAAAGCTCAAAATAGTCAAGTGACTGTCTCATCTTTCAATTTAATTGAACTGTTGCTGGTATGCCCTAGTGGGAGCATTGTTCTTTRTGAGAAGCAGAAAATTACAGAGATGGAAAGCAAAAATTTTGCATGTGYTTCACTAGGAGTAAAAGTGGGGATCCACTCCCAAGCCTACCCCTTGAATCCTGGACCATGCTGTATATTTGTCACTATTTTCRTAAGCTTTTATGTCGCTGTGACCAAAAGACCTGACAAGAACAATTTAGAGGAAAAATGTTTATTTTGCTCACAGTTTCAGGGGTTCAATTCATGGTTGGCTGACTCCATAACTGTGAGTCTAAGTTGACCTCAGAACATCATGGCAGAAGGGCATAGCAGAAGAAAGCAGTTCAGAACATGACAGACAGGAAGCAGGGCAAACTCAGCACCCCTGAGACAAAATATAAACCCCAAAGGCATTGACCTACTTCCTTCTGTCACAACCTACATGCCTGCAGTTACCACCTGGTTAATCCATATCAGTGGATTAATCCTTCTCATAATCTGGTCATTTAAACATTCTCGAATTGTCTCACAAGAGTTTTTGTGAGACAATATCTCAACCATAACATTGTATCCCTAGCTCCCAAAAGCTCATACTTATCTCACAATGCAAAATACATTTAGTCCATTTTGAAGAGTCCCCATAGTCTTAACAGCTCCAGCATTGCCCAAAAAGTCCAAGTCCAAAATCTCATCTGAGACTCAAGGCAAACTATTAACTGTGAGAATAAAAATCAAAAGCAAGTTAACCTATGTCCAATACATAATGACACAGAGGAAGCATTCCCATTCCAAAAGGGAGAAATAGGGATACAGAAAGATGGGATGGGACCAAAACAAGACTGAAATTCAGCTTGGAAAACAAATTCTGTAGCTCCATGTCCAGGCACATGGCATTGTGATGTTCTCTCCAAAGGGCTTATGTATTTCCTCCCTTATGGTCTTTTGCTGGTTGCAGCTCACATGGCTTCTTTCTTGGCTATCTCTGCTTGATTCCTACAGCTTTACTAGGCATACATTTCATGTTACTGGTATCTCTTAATTTCAGAGGTCTCTACTACACCTTCACCTTCCTTCTCACATCTTCATGTGTCATCCTCTCAGAAGCAACCTACAAGGACTTCAGCCCTGCTACATTTTGCCTGCCTTCCCAGGTCTTTGAAATCTCAATGGAAGCATCCATGACTCCCTAACTCCATCATCCTGCATTCCTACAGAACTAGTACACTGTGGTTGATCTCAAGGTATGTTACCATTGAAGCCAGAATTAGGTAGATAGGCAAGGGTCAGATCCGGAGAATGGAGGGATTAAAATGTTAATTCCTTCAGAGCCTTTCCTCAACCCTTATCAAGAACCTGCTCCAGCTCCAACCTGTTGCTAAAGTAACCTGTCCCAGGAATTGTCCCTCCCTACAGGGAGTTGTAAAAGTTACTAATTAATTCGCCCTGGGCCCCCTTCCTGCCTGATCACTCCTCCCTAGGAGTGATCACCTGTTGCCCACCTTTGGCCATCCCACCCAGCATTTACTGGGCCTAGTCACATAAGCAGGAAGGCAAGGGAGCAGGAGAACAAGGGAAGTCTAGGACATATAAAAAGGCAGAACATCCTCACTTCTGGGGATACCAGAATACCAGTTATGGCCCCCTTTTTAAATAAACCCTGCTTTATATGCTTATGTGCTTGCTTCAGCATGCTTCTTAATGTTATACTTCAACATGTGAGGAAACAGGACTTATCACTGGTAACCAGCACCATCTCAAGCAGTAGCTAAGTCTCCTAGGACCATGACTGTAGCAGCCTCTGCCTCTGTGGCTGAGCATAGCAAAACAACTTCCTAGGTTCCCTTGTACAAGCTGTGCACTCCAATGGTCTCATCTCAAAGAAATTTTTACTTTTACTCAGTTGAGCCTGAGATGGGTGTGGTCTTGCCAGTTCCTGAGATGCCATCTTTCCTAGTGTCTCTTTGGCAACTACTTAGCATATGTTTAGTGGCTGTAATCTCTTTAACAACCATATCTTTCTTGGCCCCAGTTTTATTTACACTTTTCTGGCTAACTTGCAAGTTTTTCAAATCTTTATACTCTGCTTTTTGTTCTTGTTTATTATTGCAAACTTGGCTAAAGGCCACTAGCAATATTCGTGCCACTGCCTAAATGCTATGCTGCCCTGAAATTTCCTCTGCCAGATTGATTAGTTCATCACCTTTAAATTTACTTTCTCACAGAAAGTCTCAAKACATGGGCAAAATATAAACAACTTATTTGCCAGAGAGTAGCATGAGAGGAGTCTAGATCAATTTTTTAAGGCCCTCCTTCTTTGAAATTCAAGCCCAGTCTACTAACCAAATCCTATTGGCACTGTGGTTTTCTGAGCTCCCAACAGAATCACCCATTAAGCTCTGCTTACAACATTCTGAAATTTTTACAGCATGCATCTCTAAACATTTCACAACTCCTTCCACAGATCAGCTACAAAGGTTTTGAACCATACATGCCATTCACAACAATGATCCCACTCCAGGGGTTARCTTTTGGGTCACTGTGACCAAACGACCTGACAAGA